TGAAACTTTAACTGTTTTGCGAGAAAAATTTGAGAACATTTGTTCAACAGAGAACATTTCATATCACAACAAACTCCGATTTTAACCAAAAAGTGAGAAGAGAGTTCACTCCTCGTGTTTCGGCGTATTTGATACGCACTATGTTCACTATTTTAATTATTTTCAAAAAGACAAAAGCGCGTTATGTCACTGACAGTGAGACAACCTAACCTGATGATCTGACCTGACTTGACCTGATCAGTGGGTGCTCTACGTAAGAGCTGGTAAGAATGAATTCAACGATGACGCGCGATGGGGTGAGCTTAGAGCAGGAAACTTGACAGCGCGCCTATCCCTCGTCATCGATTATATGTGGAATCGTCTTGACCTCGCGAGATCCGCACAACCGCGAGAGGGGTGCAATCGGAGATCGTCTCCTCAGTGAACCAGTGTAAGGATACCGCAAATGTTGCGGTGTTCGCTTGCGTGCGTGCGGTGCGTGCGGTGCGTGCGGTGCGTGCGTGCGTGCATCACTCGTCTCGGTTTTCGATAGGTAAAGTTTGCCGACAGGGCCGCATTTAGTCATCCATTCAGTCGTCACCCGTTCTACAAAGTTCTTCTTCTGGAATTCCCAAAGAAATTTCAATACGTGCGGCAGGACGAGAGCGCGTTCGATAATCCGCAAAATAAAATATTTATAACAAATGTAGAACGCGCGCGAGAAACTTTGCGCGAGTAGTTTCTAATTCCTCCGAGCCACGAATGCATACTTATTGCGATATTCATGAAATGTTTTTTCCCCCCATTGTGCGTTTTTCTCCCTCGCGAAATTATTGTAAGTAAATACGTCCGTTTTTTTAACGACGTTTTTTTTCTGTCCTTGCATCGATGTAGTTAGGTCGAAGTCAAATCGTTCGGTGCGTTTTTAAAATTGCGTGTATTTTTCTTTTTACAATAGCGTTATTTGCTCCCGCAAATGAGTACGGGTCTGATCGCCGTTGCATAACAATCCGCAGCGCTGCTGTCACGCACGCGTCGTGCCGCCTTGCGTCGCGTCGCGTCGCGTCGCGTCGCGTCGCGTCACGTCACGACGAAGACATACCACGTGCACGTGGCATCCTACAGTGTTTGCGGCGCGCGTTTGCGGTTTCATCGAGAATCTCGTCCCGTTGTTTACACATATGAATATACATATATGAATATGGGATATATGTGAGTACCGAGATAAGATTTTCGAAACAGACATCGACCCTGTGTTTGTCTGCCGCGATCTCTCTTTTTTTAATAAGAAAGATCTCCGCAGCCGAAAAATACACGAAATTATAAATCCGGTTTACAATCGATTAAATTAATTCGATAGCGCAAATAATAGCCTAAATATCGTTAAATATTTTATTTGTTGTCTTCGACATCATATCTTGTATCTATAATCTTTGATACCAATTAGCTATGAATACTAATAACAGTGTTCATAATCAGGTTTTAAATTTTAGATTGTCTTATAAGATAGAATATATTTAAGACCTCATAAATTAATTATACAATCGTATTATCATACATCTTAAAAGATTACTTAAAATAGTTAAATAGTCTTAAAATAGTTTTGAAGTAAAAACAAACTATGAATACGACCCTATTGTTAACGTGATACAAATACATTATTTGATATTATATTAAGCTTTATGTATTTTTTTACAATTTTACTTAGAGATCTTTTCTGTTTGATATTTTCAATGCGTTTCTTCAATACGTATTGTCTTGATAATAAGATTTAGATGAATATCTTACGGACGAAAAAGTTGCGCTCTTGGCTCTCCTCGTCATTATATACTTTTTTCAATGATGTAACATGATAAAAGAAAAATATATTTAAATATCACAATCGACAGAGAAAGAGAAAGAGAGAGAGAAAGCGAAAGAAACGTATCGATATTTAGATCGGGAGCACGCACTTCTGCATAACACATAAGAAAATGAAGCAATCATAGTTCTTCATTTTTACACCCATAATGAAAATGAAAGACTCTGATTGATCGATTTTCTTATGCATTATGCCTTGTGCAAAAGTGTGTGTGTGTGTGTGTGTGTGTGTGTGTGTGTGTGTGTGTCGTCCCTTAGATCTTTTACGTCTTTTTTTTTTTTAATGTTTTTCCTTTTTCTTCTTTCTGCACGCATAACTGAAAAAAAATCAAAGTCGCGCCGTCTATAATGTATACAACAAGCAGACACCTGCTGTTATTTAATTATCTAACAATTCGCATCTCTTTACTTTTTCATTCAGCCGAGGATGTACGTAAACCGAGTAGAGCCGCGTCGCGGAGGACGATAAGACGCGTGCGCGCTAGAGCAAGCCCGCCGCTCTCGCGCGCGAGATCGAGGAGCGTCGAGGAGCGTCGAGGAGCGTCGAGGAGCGTCGAGGAGCGTCGAGGAGCGTCGAGGACTGCCTTGGTACACACGTCCACGCCAGGACTCCTCCGCTCTATTGGGGCGGTGCGACCGATTAAAGTTCCGGCCGGTCGGCCACGTCCAATTATTCGTGCGGCATGCGCACGGCGGCCGAGGCCTCCTTCGCCGCCGGCTCTTGTTCGCGATCGCCGTCGCTCGTTAATCGCCGTCTATCGTTGTCAGCGAGCAAGGTCCACCGTCGCCTCGGCCCGAACCACCGTCGTCGTCGCGGCAGCACCGACTCTTCTACACCGCCGGTCGGCCATATCGGCACCACGCTGGCTGCGTTCGGTTCAGCGCGCAACGATGCTGAGCCTCTTCGAGAGCGTCGCCTACATCCCGAAGCTCTACTACGGTGCACTGCTGGGAATCGGCTTCTGCATCTACTACCTCTGCGAGGTCGTCAAGGTGAGTGAAGAAAAAGAAAAAAAAAAAAAA